AGGCAGTGTTGAGAAACGAGATATTTACTACGTGTTGCTCATTGTTATCTCGTCTCCCCAGATCCGTTAATGTCATATATAAAAGTGAAACCACAAAGACAACAATCACTGTTCAACTTCACAATTTATTCAAATTCTGGTTCTGTTGGTGTGATTTTATAAAATGCATAAAATCACACCAACAGCTCAACATGGTCATCAGAAACCAAAGCCAGAAAGGAAACATTAATTACCTGAGAAAAAATGCAAAATACGAAGACACAATTGTAGACCATTGTGTGTGGCAATTAAGACAGTTCCACTCCAGTGATCTGACTAGCTGTTTTAGCTCAATTACTTTTATATCAAGGTGGGTTCTTTACTGTCTGAAGCGTTCTAACATACCGTTTAGAACAGCCCGTAATGACGTTTTGCTATTTGCACACCAGAGACCATGCAGGTGTTACCAAGGCCAAGGGATGAATTCATCACTGTCTAAGCTGTCCTCCCTGCACACTTTCCCAGGGTACAAACAATAGATTTGTTCATTTCATACGGAAACATTTTACTCAAGAAAGTGGGACCAAAGTTTATCAGCTATCTGTGTTTCTCATTTCAAACTGCCTCAAACTGTTTCCTGAACCACACAGAGCTCTCCTGACCTCTCTTCTGACCCAGTGCATCAAACAGCATATTTTGATTATAAAAATTAGTACACATTTCATATATCTTCAAACTCTTAGACATGAGCAGTTTCAATACCAAAACATCTGTTACATTCAATATTTTCTGATTAGTTTTCCATTTCTTTGGTTTATAATGAACTAAAACATTTTTCAGTTAAATATATAACTTATATACTTCTTAAGACTATGATCTAATATAAAAAATTACTGATTAAACTAATTTTAATCAAATTGTGCTCATTATATTTAAGAAAAATGTTCTACTGATTAAGTTATATATTAATTAAAGTATGAGTCTAAATCTAACCTAAATTGAGGCCTACTCAAACAATCATGATCAATCTAATGTTTCAACATGCGCTAAAGTTTAAACATCATTAAAACTAGCATAATTAAATTAATATTTCCAACAGCTGGAAGAAACGATAAAGCCGATAAATTAAAATGAGGTCGATAATTTTCATTTATTGTGCGATTAATTGATTTATTGTTTATTGTGACAGGCCTATGTGTATTTGTAGCTGGTGGGTTTGATGAGTCTATGATGATTTGCTAAGCACCAAGCTGTACATAACCTCTGTTTTCGTGTTGAGTCATACATGACTGTATCCGGGAATCCTGATCTTCTAGGGTGTTAATCCACCTACACAGTAGAGAGGCACCCATCTCTGTGGTTTTGTGGCCAATTTCTGGCTTCCAGTAAAATTTTGACTTGCTATCAGTTTTCAGCTGAAAAGCAGCATTTCTTCTTCTACTGCTTTTGATGTAATTGATTATAGTTCTTAACACTAGGTTAATAACTAAGTTGTATACTCAACCTTTAGGTTGTATACTGAACCTTTAGTATACAATAAAATTTAATTTAACACAATTTGTATAAATACAAATGTGTTAAATTTATGGTCCTCTGGCATCAGATCACAGTAAAAAATGTAAAGTGATGTTTTAAAGTAAAACAAATGCTATTTTGCAATCTTTGATAAAAATAAGCTAATTTGGTAATCTTTTTTAAACTAGGCTAAGATTTGTTAAATATGAAAAAATGGAGGCCTGTTGTGGTGAAAAACTGTTTGTTGCTGAAAAACAAGGATTATACAGTTACTTGAATCAGAACCATGGGTGAACTTTATGAGATGAGGAGTTCAGAAATAAATGTGTGCTGCTCTGCTCTCTCTGAGCCACAGTTTGGGTAGCTTGCATTGAAAAGCCTTGGAGTACATGACTCCAAGGCTTTTCAATGCAAGCTACCCAAACTTGAACAGTTCTCAGCTTGGTTTTGGGCCCATTGTTCCACAGCCAACTCTGAATGCTCTCTGTGACCAAAGTTAGACTTTAATCTCATCTTCTCCTTTTCTTTAGTATCTTAGGAAAATAGTTGTACACAGGAATGATGGTGGTAAGAATATATTTTATTACATTGTTAATCAGCTCCTCTTTTGTTCTCTTCTAGCTTCTTTACCTAATGCTGGCGGAACTCTTCTCTAACAGGTAATCTTTACATTTGCTGAAATTTAACTTCAGCAGTGATGGGCACAGCTGACTTAAAAGTTAGCTCCGCTAACTGCAAAGCACTAGTCATAAAATGTTAATTTTGCTAACGCTAAAGAGCTGCAGTGTATCAATATAGCATTTAGTGGACTCTAATTCTAAAGTGCTAACTACAACCTTGATGAAATCCACAATGTGTCATTAGAATATCACCCTCTACAGGGTGTAATTTGTCATTCCAAACCGACCCATGCGGTTTGAGCTTCTGGAAGTTTTTTCTTTGGAACAGACTTTACACTCATAGTTCTGGTTTTATAGTTGTTGAGTGTTGCTGACTTTGTTGCTGATTCTGCCTAATTAAGCACGGTACAGCTTTGGTCAGAAAGCACACAGGACCTCTGAAGATTTTAAACCCTTTACTGCATCCTAGGTATAGAATAAACATAAGATGTTTATTCCAAAAACATGGGTACCATCTGTTTTGGGATTGTTACACAAAAATATACTTTAAAGATATGACAGATTTTTTTATCAAATCAGTTAGCTAAGCTAAAAATGAGCTCTGCTGTTAGTGACAGTGTGCCCACCACAGCACTTTAGGAGTAATACTGGGTCAAGCAGCTCACAGGATGTTTTGTCTCTTTGAATCAGCTTGAATATGAAACGTTCCCCCGGCCACCGGTACTGTCAGCGAGCACCACCGGACAACACCCCCGATCATCTCCTCCATCTCCTCCACTCTACCAGCACTTTTTTTAAAGGCACTAAATATGTGAAAGGTTTTGTATATAAGTACTGTGTGACTACTGAACAAGGACAAGATGAAGACTTTTGATAGATGCGCTTAGCAGGTTCTATCACATCCTACTGAAACAAACGCAGCATATTTCACTGGAGAAGTGTTGGCCCACATATAAGGCCAAAATAAAGACTAAGTAAGCAACTGAGAAGACTGTTTAAGTACCACCATGTGTACTGAATAGAGGAAGAGAACAGCTATCCTTACTGTATCCAGAGTGTTTTTTATTGGTTAGGTCAATCTGGGTGGACATATTTCAGGTTTGTCCTTGAACACAGAAATAACATTGTTTTGTTGCTCTATTAATGACGCTGATAAAATACACTCACTGACCAAAACAATTTAGTAATCAAGTTAAGTCCTCTTGGGATATGAATAAAAACTGACCTGAACTCAACTGAAATTCCAGAAGGAATGTAATCTTGTCCACATGCAGACCAGTGACAGATGTGTAAATGGCTTGATTTGCAAGACACTTGCATGTTTAGAACAAGGTAGAGTGAGCAGAAGTATTACAAGTAATTGCTGGAACATCCCACAGTTAAAACAGCAAGTGAATGTTAAGGTTTAAAACATAGAAACAGACAGCAGCCTCAGTTTAATTCAGGTTGCATTATCTAGTCTGCAAAGGATCACAGAGAAATGACTCACCATTTCTCTGTGATCCTGAACACATACATTACTGAACACATTAATGTATTTTCCACCACTTTAAGATCATCTCTATTCAGGGCCTTGTCTATTATACAGATATCTCTCATCAAGCCTCTAAATCTGCTTTGGCCCAGAGGTCTGATGGCATCAGACACAGCTGCCACTGATGCCATGATACCACTGACCACCACCAGCAGGCAAGGTGAGTGAAGTGTGTTGCCCAAGAACACAATGAATAAGACAGATGGAGCAAGGGTTCAAACTGGCAACCCACTGGTTACAGGATGAATCTGTAGTTTTACTCAGATCTTCACCATAGCATCAGGCTATAAGTTCCAGAGCAGGCCCAGCAGTAACCCTTCTGCGGTCTTAAGAGACGGGGTCACTTAGACCTCACAGGCTTCAGCCTGTCCATGGTTCAGCGGATTGGACCAACTCTACAGGCGTTTTTACAAGTTTTTTTTTTTTTTGTCAGGTTTCGGAAACTGTCAGGCTGAAGGGACAGCCCCCCACTTTCCTGCTGTCCGATGTGACATCTGCTGCACTCCTCTTGAGCATCACGCTAAGACCACGAAAGGGCTAAAGTGAGGATGTTAGCTGTCAGCATCACAATACTGCTGTACTTAGAGATGTTGCCATGGAAATAGTCACAAACCACAACAGTGGCTGATTTACAGTTGTAAATGACCCAACCTGTTTATCCAGAGGAGGAAAATTAGCAGGAAAATGCAGTGGTATTGTTACTGTTACCCATCCTCCAAGGATGCAACCACAGGCTATGCATCCTTTACTTGCTCAGCTGGTCAAAAGCCACGTTGTCTTTGTTGATTGTAAAGCTCCTGATGTGGAAAGACTCAGTCATTTAAACACAGAGGTGCTCCTGTACATACTTGGTGTCTGCTATAGGTGACATACCAATCACCAGTCTGCATGTGCACTAAATGACATTCACAAACAGACCAGGGACCTCATGTACAAAGGCTACAAAAGCATAAAAAACTTGCACTTTCCACAAGAAAGTTCAGTTCTATCAATTAGAAATGTGATCCAAGGTTACGCTAACCTTGGATCACATGCAGCTATTGATGTTTTTGAGACACCTAGAAATTACGCTGCAAAAATATCAAACGCAATCCATCCATTTTGTCTCAATACACTTGCTTGTCTGTGTAAAGCCAGAGGGTGCTAGTGTCAGTCTCCACCAGTCATTGGGTGAAAGATGGGGTATATCCTGAACAGGTTGTCAATCCATCACAGGGCAACACAGAAACAGACAACCACACACACTTTCGTCTGTAAGGATAATTTAGACAAAACACTTTATCTAATGTTCATGGAATTTTGGATGGTCTTGGAAGCCACAGTACCCCGAGACAAGCCATGTAAGCACAGGGAAAAGTCGCAAACTTTTAACTTTTGATCTAGGACCTTCTTCTCCATGTGGCCATTCAGCACACATCCTACACATGAAGAATGTATCCATACCACCAGTCTAAGGCACAAATCAACATTGTGCTGCAGTGGTTTGAAGTGATTTGTCAGGGACCAGGCAGTACAAAACGCAGAACACAGGTAGTTGAATTCAAAAAAGGTGGGTTTTATTTACCCAAAAATATGAACAAAAGTTAACATAACAATTAAACAGGCATGCCAATAAAAGAGGTCAACATAAATTACTAGACGAAGACATAACTGACAAAACAATAAACTGACCTAACTGAAATGACACAGAAGGGGATTTAAATACAGGTTTAGCTAAACCATATGGACACAATAGGGGAAAACAAAATGGCTGCCACCTAACAATTAACACAAACAATAAAATAAACCCAAAAACATCCCCCCCCAGCATGACACAGGTGGTTCAGTCCAATGAGGCCATCAGCTGTACTTTAGGAACCTCAGCACTTTGCCACGCCTTTTATCCACCAGGAAGGGGAGCCAAACACCCAGGTAACTCAAACAAAGAAAACAATATTAATACAACATAAATAAATTTCGACCTTGCAGTGTTAATACGTGTGCACTCCATATAAACATTGGAAGGTGGAAAAAAATAAGAATACTTAAACTTACAAAACAAACTAAAGTGAAAAGTAACTATTAATGAAATGTGGATCTCACCCTGTGTGGCTTGCCATCACATGATTCATTCATTCTGATGAACAGCTTGATTTGGAGTCTTGGTGGGTAAATTCACTTGCCTGTCCCTCCAGATGCCAACATGGGAGTGCTCAGGCTTGATGCACACTAAGTGATGTGTGACTGTCATCTTGTCTTTACAGCATCTTTTGTCTTAAAGAGTAAAACTGAGCGACAAATCGTTTTTCCTGGCTAAGCTAGAGTTGCGTGTTTACAGATGGAATGTGAATAATCACGTATATAAATACGTTGAAATGCCTCAACCTGAGTTCTCCCTTCTGTGAAGACATAATTTTATGTTGTGCATGTTTTCAGGCTTGATTTATACTGCATCTATTAATGTAAATGGGGGCTTGTTTAGTTAGGGGTCTGGAACTCCCCGTCATGTTCTTAATTCCACATTGACTGGGATTGTAGAAAGGAAACGTGTCTCTGGTTTCATTTGTCTGGATTTAAGTGTACACCATGTTTCAGTTGGAAATCCAAGCAAGCCTTTGTACATGAAGCCCAGCTCCTCTGAGGACTAAAGAGCTTTTATCAATGATGTATACTGTTAGGTGTTACTACTTCCTGTTTAAGTCACAGACCCTCAGTACCATGACTCAAACTACAGAGTCCTCTGGGCATAGTAGTCTTTTTCCTTTTCAACTAAATCGATCGACAAATATCATTAGGTATCAGCCATTTTAATGCAGTTTTTCCTTCTTTTCCTTCCCACAGGGCAACACAGAAACACACAACCACACACACTTTCTACATGCTATAAGATTTAGAATTGACTAGGTGAACAATTCTAAATCTACAGTTTCAAATAATCAATACACCCGGGTCACCATATGTTCTCTGCTGCTGAAGGACAATTGTTTTTTGTTTTTTTTTTACAGAATAAACATGCCTCCAGCATGGATGTTGAGATCAACAACCCAAACAGATTCATCCACAAGTAAACCATCTAGTTAATTTTAAATCAATAGAAAATGAATAAAAAATAATTCAATAACAGTGGGCTTTACTAGGAAAAACCACCAACTTTTTTAAGAAGTTAAAATTAAAAAAACCCCAAGGGGGCATAGTACACATGATCAGTTTCTTGACCAACTTTGGATCCCTAAGGGTTTGGGAAAATCCCATTTATTAACCATTTCTTAAAAAATGTATATAAAAATATGTTGAAGTCATCACTCAGAATGTATGTAGGTGTACAGCCCATCCTGATGAGAGCTAATGTTTTTACTGAACAGCTTCAGTGAAGCTGAGAACTTTGGTGAACAGACGAGTCGTTTTTATATATCAGTGAAATGAGGACTTTCTGACTGTTCAGTGTTTTACATGACAGCGTTTGTGCACTCAAGTTAAAAAAAGTGGTACTTTTATCCCATGATGCTCTCTCACTTTGTGTAATCTGACACAGATCTCATCACTGTACACAAGACTCAATGGAATCTACTGAAAGATGTTTCTGTGGAGGTTTTCTATGTGTTTAAGATGGATTTCTGCTCTAAGCATGGATTTGTAGCAAACTATAGTATTTTTCCAAGCGTTGGTCTTTGTTGTAAAATGTTATATTCTGAAAACGTTTGACGCTACTTATAGAGGGATGATGTTTTTGATACTAAATATTTATTGTACATTTAATGTGGTTTTCTAACAGTATAAAACATTTAGTATCACTGAAGGGAATCCGTGCTCACAATATCAACCACCTGCACTGTATATCCCACCTCCATTTGTCATGTAACTACCTCCTCATGTGCTGTTAACATTGGAATCATTTTGTCCTCTAGTAAAATGAGCTGACTGAGAAATATGCTGATTGATGTGTTTGTTCACATTTGAAATGGAGGCTAACAAATGTGTTAAAGCATTTCACTTCCCACACATTGTCACTGTTCCTGCAGCGACACTGCTGCAGTCTGTTAAATCCAGACAGGTGCAGTTCAGATGGATCTGTTCTAGAGGAGGTGGAACAACTGATTGGTGCAAACTTTTTTGCTCTTACCAGTAGGCCTGTCACAGTAACAAATTTTGGTGAGCGACTGTCTAAA